AGCAAATCGGACAGTTCCTATTGTATCACGCTGAGGCAAGAGATGAGCAGGGTTCACGTCCTCTGACAATTCAAGGATGTAGACCCAGTGAATGGGAGTGTCTTAAGGAGGAATGCGACCAATGCTCCACTTTTGATCGCGTAGACCTCGACGACCCAGTTGTTTGGAACCACATAATGGAACAATATGTAGAAGTGCAGAGTTCGCTCCTGTTCCATGATGATGATGAAGGACCAGCAGAAACCCCGATGGAGGGCCACCGCCAGCGAAAGAACGGCTCGGTGCGGGTCTTCGTCTCGAAGAGTATCGACGAGTTCGTCGCGAGCCTCGAGTCTGCAAGGCTAGCCCCGACGACGAAGGTGTGTTGACGTTTCGGGAGCCCGGGATCCAGACCGGCTATCATCCGCGCGTCCAGGTTCTTGTCAACTGGACCCGGGTGATGGTGATGCGCCATTGCCTGGCCGAGTTCTCACAGGAGGACGAGGTCAGAGGTACGTCGATTGGTCCTTTCGGGGACTTCGTGGTGGGTGGGCCTTGAGGCCCACTCTACCTACCCTTCAAGTTTATGCCAAATATTATCTTGCTTGACTAGAATGCTACTTTGTACAGATAATCTTCGATTAGCCAGGAAAGTAGCGCCCAAAGGGGAGAGAGAGAGAGAGAGAGAGAGCTGCTATTTATTATTGCAGCCCTGCTTGACTAGAAAGTAGCTGACTACCCCAAGCGCGCTTCTACATGGACTCAAAGTAGTTTCTTATACGATGTCTGGCAAGCGGATTCGCGGGGGGAAGCCCCCAATGGCGCAGAAGCGGCACCGCGCGGAGTCCGAACCCCGCGAACAAGATACGGTGCACAAGAAGACAGCAATCGAGTTAGCCATGGAGGAGGCCGATGAGTACGAACGGCAAAAGGAAACCGAACAGCGACGTACAAGCCGTGTTCACAACAATCGAACACTCGGGTTTCACAAAGCATCGTGTTAGGCCTGCAGCAACTGAAATTGCTGTCAACGCATAGAACTCTGAATTTGCAGCATTTCTCCGTGTCCCAAAGAGTGTTTGTCTCTCAAGTTTTGGTTGATTCGTCCCTGAATAGGCATTCGCAATTGCGGTATTGTGATGAGCCACCCCTCCACGCCCCGGAAGCTTACAACGTGTAGGTCTGCGCTAGGACAGTCATCTAAAGCATACAGACGCGATGAACAGTCTGACGATGAACAGTCTGATGCCTCTCCAGTTCCCTCCAACACGGGACGGCCGAACATGCTTGGCATTGCAGGGGAAGAAGAGGTTTTTTAGCTAGTGAATCAATCGTGCGAATAAGCGCGTTCCTCAGGTTTGTGTGCCAACAGAAGAACCGGAAGACGTGGTTTCAAGTGATGAAGACCCACCACTCTCAAGTGGCGCCATAGGCAAGCTCCGCCTGCCCCGGAGTTTACTCGAAAAGTGGGTCGAAGAACCTTTTTTTGAAAAGGCGGTCATTGGATGTTATGTTCGGCTTGGAATTGGTGCACACTAGAATTCAAGTTTCCTCTACTGTGATTTATAGGATCTCCATAGGTAAGGCACCAGGCCCCCATGGAGAAGCACAATACAAGGTAAGTTTCAATGGCTTGTTCCTGGATTGAATTCGATATCAGGTCTGTGAGATTATTGGCGTTGAGGAATACAAACACTCTTACCCGTTTGGTGAGTTTGAAACGAAGAAAGCATTGATGCTTCGAATCGGTCGAAACCAACGACTTTGGCGCATGAATGTCATATCAAATCATCGGTATTGTTACACGTGTGAGTGATGCACACAGAATCTTTTGAATTCAGGTTTGCCGCTGCTGAAATAGATGAGCATGACACTGCGTGAAAAGCTGTTGGATAGAATCTGTCATCATCCTTTGCGCAGGTGGCGAAATGTGATGCTTGCCGAGCGGCAGAAAATTCCATCATCCAGCGAAATCGACAAACGCAAAGCACACATGCGCAAAGCAGTATTTTCCAGTGACTCGGTAGTTCCCCCCCAGCCAACAAGTTTAGAGCGCAAGCGTGGAACCCTCCTACCCAACGAGAGCGGTGGTGTATATTCAGAATCAGATGTTTCAAGGCTCGTCAATGCTCGGCGGAAGCGCAATGAGGCCGCACCTCGCGGCGTCACCACAATCTCAAGCTATTTCAAGCTACCGAAGTAATGAATAGGCCCGCTTTCGCGAGCGGCAGACATCCACCGTAGCAAGGCTCAATCATGGCCAAGCGCGCACCCGATATGAGCACGAAGTGTACAACGCCCGTGATTCATACGCCGCGCTGCTTGTTGCTCGCAGCAGGGAACTCCACGCGACGCCAGATTTGCAGGCTGCGCTGTTGAAGGTTTTAACCAGAGTCACGAAAGCTACACGCCTTCGAAGTTCACGCACAATTTGAAAGAGTGCTGGACAGGTGGAACGGACCGAAACATGGCAACGAGCTGACAATGATGCATTTGAAAGTGACCTTGATGCCCTTGCACGGAGGCTCCTAGAAGCACGAAGCGAGCAATTACCTACAGCGGCGAGTGGTGAGACAGAAGATTGCCGCGTTGCAAGGAAGCTATATCGCCTAGCCACAGAGTATCTTGCCCTCCTTAAATCTCAATATGGCCATACACTTAGGTGAGACCAACCAGAAGCTTATCGACTTCCGTAAGAATGCTTTAGAGGTGCGCATTAAGCGCGATGCAGAAGCTCCCTCAAGGACTTCTACATTGTTATCTATCAATGAGGCAAAGAAGCATGAAAATGCCCTCGCTGATATGGCATATGGTGAAAAGAAACTTCGAGATGTGTATTGTACGCTGTGTGTTTGGACAAATAAGTTGCCTTGCTCACAGACGACTTCCCCTTAGGCAGAATCAGGATGAAGATGATGAACCTTCCGTATTCCAGCGTCGCGCCACCAAACCAATGTTGCTATGGACTACAACCAAGCCTGCTGATAAATTGATATCTGACTTTGAAACCATGAAACAACCCGAGAATGTTTTTGGTCCACCGGAGCTCATCGATGCTAAATTGATGGCGGAGCGTGCTAATCCCGATGAAGATTCTAAAGCGACCAAAACAAATAAGCAAACTCAGCGCCATCGCAGTGGTATGTCCCTGCAAGAATATCTTGAAAGAGCCAAGGCCCAACATTGAAAACAAAACTAATTAGGAATCTGATATTTCTTGGACGTACGTTACATCCTAAGAGACGTGCTTTATAGGACATGAATGAAGCTCTCCCTGTTAACTATTTAGAGATTCCACACTGATCATGGCACTCTAAAAAGCCCTTGTCACAAAACAGCGGGCACTCATGCTGTATGTGCGTTCTTGCGCCTGTACCCGGTTGAAAGGGGACAAGAAATGAATGTCGAATTATGGGTGCCCTCTCGGAGATCGGAGATCCTACCCTGAACTTCACCTTCCAGCCTAGGAGGCAATGACTTTCATTTGCCTGTTCTTCCTTGCCAAACCGAAGCCATTGTAAAACCAGGCTACCTGCAACCCGATGATCAGACTAGAATTAACCCCGCTCCGGACTTGGAAAATTAAAATCGCCCTGCTCAAGAACCACAAGTCTGCTTTGCTCGAGGATGTAGAAGTCAGAGGCATACTAGTTCGCTATGAATGGACAGCCGTAATGACAACCACAAGCAAAGTCGCAAAAAGAAAGCAAGCAAGTTCGGCCCGAGAGACAAAAGGCACGTTTCGACATCGACCTCTCGGATGGGAATGAATACCTGACAGACTGGGTCCTCTTCAGCGAAGCTCATGGTGCACCTGCAAGAAGCACGGCGGGAACCAACAGCCCCGCGCATAGACGAAGTAACTAGCTTTCGCTAGCCGCCTTAATAGCTCCAAACTAGCACAGGCGCATTTCTAGGTTTCTACCTTCATCCTAGTGAACTGCATCTTGGTGTTGTAGTGCACCTTACCCCACTGTGCTCCTACTGCGCATCCTGCTAGTATCCATCTTCCTAGCATGTGCATAAAGGATGATCGACCGTAGTGTTTCCACACAGGACACCAGGGGCACTTCCCCCCAAGGAGCACAGTGGGGTATGGTGCACTGCAACATCAAGGTGCAGTTCACTGAGGATGAGGGTGGAAATCTCTCTATCTCTCTAGCCCCCGACAACCACCCCAAAAGGCAGCCCCAGCCACTGTGACCCCGACTCGGAATATGGACGCCTCCGTCCGCCACGCCTCCGAGTCCTAGGGTAGGCTAAGTGCGATTGTTGTCTCGGTCATCCCCGGGAAATCCAGCGATCCACAGCTCCCCCCCATACTGAGACTGAGCCGACTCAGTAGTCTCAGTATGGGCCGCCGCGACCAGCCGCGCGGCGGCCCGGAAGAGGCCCCACTCAACCCCGCTTCGCACCCGCGCGCCGCCGCCCCACGGGCCCCCCGGGCCCCCTGGACAGAGATGGCGCCAGACCCGGGGCTCTTAAGGGCGACTAAGGGGGGGGGGGGGGTCGCAAACTCAGCTTCGTTGGGTTTCTCGTGCCCACCGCTGCCCACCCCAAGCGCACACCCCTCGACTTTGGGCAAGAATTCAAGCCAGAGGCGACCTTGGTTTGCAATTGAAGGAAAACCCCACTGTGAATTATTTCTGCAGCATGTGAGCGGTCTTTGAGATTAGGAAGGACACAGAGAATATCTGATGCGGCAAGTGCGACGCAAACCAGGGAATCAAGTGCGGCGCTAGCGGCTTCTAGTCTGGGCGCTGCGAGGCTGTCTGTGCTATCTGCAGCAGCAGCGTCAAGCAGAGTAGAAACGACCGCACTGAGGAGCCCCCCCCCTCTAAGCACACAGAATTCAGCGTATTTGCTCAATGCAACTGCAGCCCGACGCCTTGAGTCAGGTATTGTTGCTTGCATGATCTTAGTTTGGAGTGCTGTGATAACATGAACAAGGATCACACTCACAACTTCATCCCCAGCACGCGCAGCAGCTAGAGCGTCCTTCGAGAGAACCGCGCAAACAGTTGCAGCTACATCAGAAAGGGCTGCGTCTGTCTCTCCCAATGCCTTGGAAGCTGAAGTGAGAAATTGAACTACGCCTATCTCTCTGGAACAGGCGCAAATCATTTGAGCAGCATGGTAGTCGACCCAATACTCTAAAGCACGATGGTAATCTGCATGCTTGCCATGATTCACATCTATTGAATCGCATAGAAAATTCAAACTTTCTAATCCCCGCCTGACACGCTCAAGGATAGCATCGAGAAGCTTCTGCGCATGTGCCGATGTGAGGTGACCTTTGTTTGCCTGTGTTGAGGTCCCTAGGAGACCAGGCCATACGACAGCGACGCTTCTAGTAAGACGTAGATGCCTATGACATGCGAAAGATGTGAAGCGTGACAGCAGCATTGCAATCTGTATGCATTCTTCTTTGCTTTCAGCATAGGTAGTGGCAGCGGCAAGTCGTTGTGATGCTCGTTCTGTGAGTGGCGCTGCGAGCTCCATCGCGCTAGTGCCCAGGGCCATGGCACCAATTTCATCACGAAAGCTCTGTCCTAGTGCACGCAGTTCTTGATCAATCTGATCGAGTACTGTCACGATGAAGCCAACAAGGGGCCAAACTACGGATCTATGTAAAGAAAGGAGGTGTAATCCGGAATCGTTCATGAGTGCGACTTTAAGCAACTGCAGAGATGCAGTGCGTTGCACTTGAGCAAGACCAGAAATATCTCCCATCGCTACACGACCGATTGGCAAAAGTGCCTCATTTGTTGATAGAGAAACAAGAGTTACAGTAGAGTCATGCTGGGCCGCAAAAACCGAAACTGAGTTAAACACTCCGGAGACAAGCTCATTGCTCACCATGCCAGCATTACAAGCAGTTTCTAGGGCGTGCCTTAGCAGCGTTACAATGCGAGCCTCGCACTGTGTGCGCAGCATTTGTGAGCTTGATGCACCATCACCAGGTATCATGTTGTACGCTAACTGTCCAAGTGTTAGAAGACCTTCCAGCGGTTCGAGCATCTGAAACGCAATTGAATCCAGCAGTATTGAGAATCGAGGTGTTGTCAAAGCCGCTATCGCAATAGAGAGATCGTTTTGCACGGAGACAGCCTCGTACTGCCACCTCAGGGATGGTGGGAGACACGACGACATGGACCGAAGCACGGCCAGGATTTCAGCCACGAGCTCAGCACGATCCTCGACCTGGTCGCCACGCTGGGCTTTTGCAGCTAACATTGATGCACCAAACAGACCATGCAGCATATACTCAGGTCGGGAGTCTAGGGTGCGAACGAGGAACAACCCGCTTCTCCACGCATCTATGCTGCTTTGGAAGAGCACGAGCGATTCGTGGGCGACCGCGAGTGCTACTACGGACGATACTGGCGATTGCAGGACCGTTATAGCACGACGGAGATCATCCAAGCTAAGCGCCGGAATCGCTCGCTCTGGAACTGGCGTATTCTTCCAAAACATGTTTAGCCCTACTAAAAGGGGCACTTTTTTCATGTTTGGCACATGGCGAGGAGAAAAAAAAAAGAAAAAAAAAAAAAAAAAGAGGCGCCGAAGGCGCCGAAGGCGCCGGAGGCGACAAAGGCGCCGAAGGCGCTGAAGCCAGGCGGAGCGACGCGCGGACTCGTCCCGCCGACCCGTCTTTAAACCCCGCGGAATTATCCAGGCGGCGGCGACGCGGCGGCGCAGCGCCGCACGGGCGATCGCGCGCGCGCCGTCCGCGCGGCGCCGCCGCGCCGCGGCCCGCTCGGCCACGGCGGCGCCGACGCGCGCGACCGCGCACGCGAGGACCGCGCGGCGCGGCCGCGCGGCGCTGCTCTGCGGCGCGCGGCGCGCGCGCACCAGGCGGCGACCGCGCCGCGCCGCGCGTCGAGCGCCGCGGCCGCGGCCGCCGCGGCGATTGCCGCGAGCGCGCCGCGGAGCGCGCGAGACCGCTGGACGTGGACCACGTGGCGCGCCACCGTCAGCCGGAGCGTGCGGCGCGCGGCCGCGGCCCAAGCCGCGAGGCCCCGGCGGAGCCGGCTCCGAGCGGCCGCCGCTGCGGCCGCCGCCGCGGCCGCCGCCGCCGCCAGACAGCGACGCGGCTCCTGAGCGCCGCGCCGTCCGCGGCGGCGGCCGCGGACGCCGCCGCGGCCGCGCGCCACGCGCGGAGCGCGCCGCGTGAGGCCGGCGCGATGTGGCGGAGGCACCGGAGCGCGGCCGCGACGTCCGCCGCGGCCGCGGGGCCCTCGACGTCGGCGACGCGCGCCTTCCACCAGCGGCCGAGCGCCGGCGCCGCGCCGCGGTGGAGCGCCGCGGCGCCCGCGGCCGCCTCCCAGCGCCGCCGCCACGCGCCGAGGCCCCAGGCGAGCCGCCGGCGCCGTGACCGCGCGCGGAGCGCCGCGGACCCGCGCCCGCCGCGAGAAAGCGGCCCAGGGCCGCGGACCGCCGCGCGCAGGCCCGCCGCTCAGGCCGCGAGCGCGGCGAGCTCCGCGCGGCCGCGGGCCGCCAGGAACCGGCCGCGGGCCGCGCCCTCGCGCCGGCGCCGGGCCGCGCCGCGCGCCGCGGCCGCGCGGCGACGCAGCGCTCCGAACCGCATCGACGGCGGTAGCAGGCACACGACGACGTTGGTCGCTGTCGTCGGCTGTGGCACCCATGGCGGCGGCGAGGCAGCGCACGACGACAGAAACGCCGCCGTCGCGTGCGCCAATGCGGGGCAGCCCCGGAGTTGCATGGGACGCGGAAGGTATGCGACAGCGTGCCGACGCACTGGAAGCGCTGGAAGGGCGTCACATGCAAGGACGTCGATGCAAAACACCGTTTCCGCGCTCAGACGCTGCCTCCGCACTCCTGCTGATAGTGTGTCTTGGGACGAGCATTGGACATTGATGGTGCCGTGCAGATCTTTTGTTAAACGCGTCGAATCTTTTGTTAAACGCGTCGATTCTTTTGTCCGTCGCCTAACATAGAATAGCTGCCGTGTTCTTTTAGGGGGGAGGCGCTTATCCAGCAGGGCGGTTCGCGGGGTACCTCGGCGGACCGAGCCAGGCGGCGGCGGAGGCGCCGTCGCGGCGGAGGTTGGTCGTGAGGGTGGCGAGGGCGGCGCGGTCCGCGAGGCGGCGCGCGCCGTCTTCGAGTCGGTGGGAGAGGGCACGGGCGGCGGACTTCCAGGTGCCGTCGGCGAACTTGAGGCCGGAGATCAGGTAGCGCGCGCGGTACTTCGCGGCGGTGGTGCCCCACTCGCGGTGGAGCTCGTTGCTGAGCAGGGCCTTCGCCTGGTCGGGGCAAGCGCAGCCCATGGAGATCCAGCGCGACTCGGCGAGCGCGGTCGCGACGTCCGCGAGCAGGGACGAGACGTCCTTGGAGGCCTCGGAAAACTGGCCGAAGACGAGGCCGACGCAGCCGCCGTAGGAGCTCAACGCGCGGAACATCGGGCCGTCGGTGACGCCGCTGATCTCGACGTCGATCTGCTTCGCGTGCGCCTTGTATTCGCTGTCGACGTAGGACGCCCGCTTGTACAAAGGGGGGACACTGAAACTCTGCCGATTGCAGATCGTCGAATTTGGCGGCGCCGCCTAGTGCGATGGATAGAGGGCATCTAGCTGATAATCAAAGAGTCTGGGTTCGTGGAAATCGATCCCGATTTCGTAAAGTTCTCCAGCAGAACCTCGCTCAAGTCCTGAGAAGCACTCGCCATCGAATGTACCGGGAAAGTCGTTAACAAAGCTAGCCGAGCTCAGCGGCAACTAAAAAAAGTGTCGGATCATGCATAGATTCGCTCTCCTCATGGGGCAATTCCCGCACCTGCCCTACCCGCCTCCGTCCCCGCTGAGGTGGCCTCCATTCTGGTATTATTAGTCCAATCGGGCCCAGCCTCCCCTCGTGGGGGGGGGGGGGGTACTTTGCTTCCTTTAGCCTCAGACTAGTGGAGGCTTAGTGGGAGATACAAAACGCTAAGTGGAGGGAACCTGGGATACAATAGATATATCTCACCAGTTCGTCCGGTCTGGTCTCGGCTCGCTCGGCCTTCACTCTTGAGATATAAACACGCTCTCTGCTTCGGCCGCTACTTCCTGGATCATCAGAGATAAATCCGTTTAATCTCTAAACTTCCGGCCTGGTGATCTCGTTCTCGCTCAGTGCGGAACCCATGCGATCCATAAGCTTGTTAGCTTCTTTATTGGTCGCTCGGAGATCCTTTGCTAGGTCGCAACTTACCTTGCGAAGCAGGTCTCAATATTCGAGGAAAGACGTTTCCCGTGTGTCACGCGGGGGTAGTGTGCCGATAGATGGAGAACTTACTAAAACGGCGCCAGCTGGATCGCTCAAGGAAGCCTTTACAGGTGGAATAACAGGCTCGATTGCAGGCGTAGCACAGGTACTCATGTTCATGTGGTTGCGCACGGCAATGAACTATCAGTACCGACATGGTGGAAGCCTGCGAGCTGTACTCCTTGTTCTTTGGGAAGATGGTGGCGTTCGCCGATTATACCGTGGACTTCCCTTTGCTATTTTGCAAGGTCCTCTGACTCGATTTGGGTCTGCGGCAGCAAATACGCTCGTTCTTGGCCTTCGCGACACAGATGCTTTTGGGTTGGGAAAGTACCCCATCTATGTGGTGACAATGCTCGGGTCGCTGCTAACGACATGCTACCGTTGTGTACTTATGCCCATTGACACTCTGAAGACGGTGTCTCAGGTTGATGGCTGCTATGGCTTCAATGCCGTCACTCGTCATGCTTTTGCGCATGGAAACATCTCTATACTCTACACGGGTGCGTACGCGATGGCTGCCTCGACGTTCATGGGCCACTACCCTTGGTTTTTGACATTTAATGTTCTCAATGTTCTCTACCCTAAGCACAACAAGGCCATCTATAACTCAATTCGTCTCGCATTAATGGGCTTCATTTCATCTATCGCTTCCGACGTTGCATCTAATCCCATTCGAGTAATTAAGACTACAAAACAATCTATGGCCGCTCAGAGGTCTCTCACAGCAGTGAATAATGACGCAAAGTCTAAAGCAGCAGACCGAACATATGCCCAGATAGTTCGCGATATTGCCATGATGAATGGTGCGTCCGCATTCTTCACTCGAGGTCTTTCCACCCGCATCATTGCCAATGGGCTCCAGTCTATCGTATTTACAGTCGTCTGGCGCCTTCTACTCGAATAACCTCAGGGCCTCGAGTGAGGACTGAGTTGATACATCGCGAGCAGGCTAGCTAGCCCTCGTGCTCAACAGAGATCTTGATGTTGGTAAGCATACCGAGCGAACTTTCGATTATCCGTCGCACCCGTCAAAGGATAGTTGTGATAAACTTGAGGTTTATCCCTGCATTGCGGAAAATGTCGACCAGCCAAATGTCGACGTGGTGGTTCCCGAATATCGCGCAATGATGCGTACTGGGAGTGCAATCGAGGCATTCGACTTGTGCATGGCGTGCCGAATTGGCGTGCCGAAGATTGCAGCTCGATCTCGGAGGAAGATAGTCCTGGCATGTGCCCCCCCCACACACCACCACCACCACCACCACCCCCGCGGGGATAACCAGCTCACTTCGCAGCCAGAATCCCCTCTTCGAAGGAGAATGTAAGTTGCCCTTCAACTAAATGGGCACTTGAAGTTTAAACCAACCCCGCCAACTAACTAACACCGACACCACCACACACCCGTTAAAAGCGACAAGAGAAGAAGAAAAGCAGGGAGATACCAAGATACAATATCCATAAGAAATAGCCAATAACTAGGAGAGCAGCGAGCCACTAGTAGGCTATAGCAATTCCTCCACACCTCCAACAGCTGGTTCGTGCGGCCCCCGCACTCAAAACCACACAAACAACCGAGGTGCCATCACATAGCTCCACGCCGACATCGTCCTTTTCGCCCAGCTAACCAAGATTCACATTTGTGGCTGGGTTGAATAAAAAGGCGGATTTGTGGTGCTCTTGAAGTTTTTGAGTTAGTGGCTCTGCGCGCAAGACGGCGGTGCCGGCTTTCAGATGCAACAAGAATTTTGCAAATCGGTGGCCATGGCGCCGAGATAGAGCCTGCCAAAGGTGCCCATCACCACTGCCAAAGCCCTCTTTACCATCGATTTTCTCGAATCCGATCCGCGCCATTCGATCGGGGATCTTAAACAACCCAGCCACATTTTTCGCATATCCTCTGGAATCTTTCCTCCTGACTCCAACTCTTCTGGGACGGGAGGAGGGTAGAGTAAAATCAGTGCGCAGTAAACGCACTATAAAACCAGCGTCCGAGACCCATGTGCCGAAGGAGGGTGGTGGGCGGGCTCAAAAAATAAGCCGCGCCACCCCGGTCCCCGGGGAAGCGGCGAGCTGGGAGAGGACCACCATTCGGTGCCGGCGGCGCCGAGCCGCAACGGTTTCGGACCGAGCGCGACGCCGTGGCGCCGGGGCCAGAGCGGCGCCCGCCGACGCCGTGGACCGTACCCGCGGCCCAAACACGCCCACCGTATGTTGGTTGGCGCGCTCCACCAACAAATTGTTGGAAATCGCTGGGAATCCGGCTGCGGCGCGCCGCGAACTCGCTCCGCCTTCGCGCGAGGACGCGCCGCTCGGTCGTCCGCGCGCAATTTTACGTCGACCGATCACCGTCTCTGCTTTCTGCGGACGCATCGGCATCGTGGAGCTCGTCGAAGGCGACCCTCACGGTTTTGGACGACCGCGCGCCGCGCGACGCTCGCCGAGATCGTCGCCGAGAACCAGCAGACGGCCGCCGCAGCCCTGATGCGGCGGCGTCCGCGCCTCGCTTGGGGCATCTGTCGGTCGCGCGTCCATCGCCAGTCACGAACGTCGCCGCGGGTCGCTGGGCAGCTGCAGAGAGAGCCTTGAGTGCGAGGACTACATGTATAACGGCGTCGCAATTGTCAGGAAGGTCGGGTCAGGGAACGCCCAGCTCCAAGTGCAGGACGCTTTCGTCGCATTATCCAGATCAAACATCGAAGACATGAGTGACACAGAGCTGAAGTACTACATCATGTACAAAGGTGCGGGTGGCCGCGGCCAAACAATCCCCGACTGGTGGCCTGCCGAATACCACCAAAAGCTGACCGCACTCAAAGATGGAGGTGCCCATACTAGTAAGGATTCTAGTAAGTAACCCGTCCTCAACCTGTAGGCGAACTGGATAGAGAGATAGAGAGATTTCTACTCTCATCTTCATTTTCTCGACGTCGCCTCGCCAAGTTGCTGCGTTTTGGCATCAGGGGGGGTGCGGTACATAGATACCAGAGACCCCCAAGTGTCTAATGGAGAACACCACACTGATATCATTGGGCTATCGTGAGATGGTCCTTTCGAGCCGCCATACCGCCTCTAGCCGTCCGCGGACGCCCTGATTGCCGGGTAATTACCCTTCTGCGGTAATTACCCGGTAATTGCCGGTAATTACCGAGGCCTCCCGGGCATTACCCGGTAATCCGGCTCCCGCATCCGGCTCCCATAGGTGGGCGGGCCCGCTGGCGGGCCCCAAACTAGAACGCGTCGAGTTTCCCGCGGGCTACCTAACTGTGCAGAACCTCTGCAAATAGCGCCGTGGCGACGGCCCAGGTAAATAACGCCGTGCGTCATTTGGCGCCTAGCCGGCAGCTGAGGGCTTTATGCGCGTCGTATTTCCCGCGTTCGCCCCCGGGGTAACTTGCCAATGAGCTCCGTGAGACGGCGAGTAGCTAGACTTCTGGGGTGGATCAAGACAACGAGACCACTCAGTCTATATCAAAGCCAGTTGCTTCCATCTGAATTGCCATGGTCAGAAATTTTTTCAGTTTCTTCTTCGAGTCGTAGAGGGGCAAATCTATTCGGTTGAAGCAAGTATGAGCCTTTGGGAAAACCGAGACGGTCTCAGGGATCGAATTGATAGTGAACTTGCGAATATTATTATCGTTGCCTTGCAAGGCGCGAAATCCCTGCGCTGGTACCTGTGAAGTAAGGGATGGTACGCAAATTGGAACTTTCTCCTCTGGGTAGTCACCCCAGAGGTGCCAGTCACAAATTGAAGAAGCCTGGCTTTGTGTTCTTCATCAAAATCGTCAACGACAACCTATGAAAATTCGATCTGTGAAATCGTAGTCGTTGCATAATACTAGCCTCCCAGAACCATTTGACTACCTTGTGAGATGCACCTTTCCGTTCGTAGTCCCCGGTGTACCTTTGGTGTAGCATAGAGCAATATAAAAGGAGTGATAAGTTGCCCACGCGGTGCATATGCTCTGTGTTTCGTTTCCAATCCTCGATATCAATTTCTGGGAGGCCACACAAAAGCAGCTCAAGTTCCTGGAAATCGAATACAGAAAGTAACGCCTACAGCAGACCACTAGTGACCTCTATCACAACACTGAGACACAACCTCCGGAACAACATCATAGAATCCGATAAGGAGGGCTTTCACTTGTTCTTTGACACGGTCAAGTAGCCTGTACCGCATCTGTAGTTGAATATACTCATCAACGTTGTTGTTGGTAACAGTACAATTTGCACCGTCTGGTTTCAAGTCTACTGTCTGTGCTGTGCCCCAGTGATCCTCTGTGACGGTAAAGTCGAGGCAGCAAACCTGCGAATTGGCTTCAGTCTGAGCCCAAAAGCAGTTTGCACCTCCACATCATCAAGATCTTTCAGCTTGCACAAGTTGGCATATGTGTCTGCATCCAGCTGCTCCAGATCAGCCACCGTCAATGGCCATCCAAGTATGTGCTTGTACCTATGTAACTGCTTCAATGCCGTAAGTACAGCAAAACTCTGGCTAGCTGCAAGGGTCGGACGAGATGTCCAGCTACAATCTGTCGGTCAAAAAGAGCCTTACCCAACAAGCGGCCGGTGAAGTGAAAGTAGCGGAGATGTTCATCATTTGCGATGCCCGACGACGGATTTATCTGCATGCACATTTGGTTTATTGAGCTGTATGACCATAATGCAAAGTCTGGATTGAATAGCATGTCCGAGACAAGCCTAAACGCCAAGGACGATTTGCTTTCCCTCAGGTCAATGTTGGACGCAAATATCTCACTGAAACCACTCCCGTGCAACACCTCCCGCATCCACACCTACAAATAGGCGAGATCATCTACCGAGTGATTTGCCGATTATGACTGCACAATCGTGCGGCGAACTAAATGAAAGTCATCGTGCGGCGAACTAAACGAAAGTCGTTTTGGGGGGGGGGGGGCTCGTTAGACAAAATAGTCTTTTGGCCCACCTGGTTCTGCGATAAACTCGAACCGAAAGATTTTGCGCATGTCGGCTTGAGTAATTGACTCAGTAGCCTCCATTGAATCTTCCAAAAGATTCTCACGTCGAACATTAATCTTTATGTGTCCATCTTCCCACGGCACTTGCAACTTTGCAATTTGTTGTCGAAACCAGGCTTCTTTATGTTGAAAGGGCATGGCTGCGTATCGTGATAGCTCCTGGGCAAGCGAAGTGCCATTGTTAATTGCGGGCACTACAGTGGACAGAGCAGCATCTTTCGCAGGCACAAGTTGCAGCGAGTGGGTCGCCTTCGATGTTGATGTCCCCACAGTCAAGGTCCGTAGTTCCCGAACGAAGGCAGTTCGCTCGAAGGCCCATTCTAGTTTCTTTTTCGACTCGTGATCACTATCAGCTTCTGCTTCACTGCGTACCCAATGAAATGTTAGGTCTGTAGATAGACAGCGAATCCAGCCGTCCTTTTGGTAATTAAGCTTGATTGACTGAATCTCATCAGAGCTGAGCTTGATCGGCAATTGAAAGCGGATCTTTTGTCCAGGTCGTGCATTCGCTGGACAGGTGACCATCACACGCTGGCCATTTGCAATCAAAGCAAATGCTTGGCCTGGGCGCACACCCTAGATTGCTACATTTCTGTTGCTGGTCTAGCTTATGTACAAATGATGGGTAACGCTGCCATGCTCGCTTGCGGTACATTTACCTCAAACATTTGATTCCCGAAAGGGCTCCGAACTGTGTCGTTCGATGGTGTGTTTGCCGAGGGGCTGCTCAGCGAACTTGTACCCTGTGTTGATCCTGCAGCAGAATTGGCACCTAAATGAACCATGCATCTATGAAGCTGTCTATTGTCCATCATGAATCGACCTCTTACGCTGCTGGTACCTCGACGAGAGGTTGGGACCATGATACGCACCTGCGAAAGTAAAATAGAAGCGTTCAACAGGATTTGAATATGGACTACCACGACGAACCTGCATGCCGGGTCGGACACCTGCAAAATCGATGATCAAATGAGCACACTGTATCAAGTGATGACACCGCCCCAATGCCAGGCGGGCACGTAACCATCAATTGTTGGTTGTTGACAAGGACTGGGAATTGTTCACCACTTCTAACACCGTGAGGAACCTGGGTAATCGGTCACGTTGAACGTCACCCAAATAACACCGCAGCGTGCAGTTGCCATGTATGCCTGCGTGCCTTGGGAAGAACGCGGTGCTGAAACAACGATGCGTTCACCTGCAAGCAAGTACCACGCCTCTTCTGGATACAGACCGATCTACGAGATACCTGGCCGTATTCCTGGCGGGCATCGAACCATGAGTTGTTGGCCGTTAGCGATAACCTAGCAGAAAGATAATATTAATTGAAGTTAATGTTTTAGTGCACAGATTTCACGGGAAACTCTTGGCCTGGCCGTATACCCGCAGGTACTGTCACATAGAACCTGCATTCTGTGAATAATAGGTCATAGTTTTTTGTTCGTGGGCGCTATCGTATACTGAGCTTGTCGGCGTTGTGATCCGGGCACAGAATACGCGCCTATTGCTGTGCTGGAAAGGGAAAGTAAACTGCCACACTCACCCGGGGGGACGCTCGAAGACGATTGTTGACTTGAAAGACGCGTTCCTGTTGTAGATCCATTCTGCAATGATTCCCGACCCCTTGATTCCCGGTAGTTCGAGGTGGAGGACTCGTTCCCCATCCGCACCGTCCGCTTCGCCTTTCGTGCTTCCACTACTCTAGTAGACTAGTAGCTCTTGTTAGAATCCGAGTATGCTAGTATGAAGCACCAGCATAGTATAGCATGAGCATAGCCAGTATAAGGCAGACTTAGCATAGCCAGCATAGGCCAGTATGAGCGTCCCAGCATAGGGAGGATAGCATAGTCCCGAGTTAGGGTAGCATAGCCCAAGGAGAATGTAGGCTCCCTAGGTAGCTGGCTTATCGCCAAGCGCACTTTGATTGTGCTTAATCACAGACGCCGGTGTACCGCCACCGCGTAGCCCCGACAGTTCACCACGGACTACCCTACCGTCGGAGTCCGCTGGCGGAACCGGTGCGACTGGGGCGTCGTGAAGGGTGGCCCCCGGGCGTGGGTTGCGGCCCTGTATTCAAGTTTCCGAATCGGAGTCCGCTACCCCCTTGCCATCTCTGTATCAGGGTGAAAGCAAAACTCTTTGAGGCGCCAGCCGCGCGGTGGGGACTATCTGCGTTAAGCTTGCCGCGCCAGGATATTAGTCGGGTCGAGTGGGGCCTAAAGGGAGGCTAGAGACCGGAAAAAAATTCCGCGCGCGTCTACCCCCTGCTGGGTGTATCTTGTGTCGGCACAATGTGCCGGCAGATCTGGCGAAGCGAAGTGTGCCGGCACAACCAGAAATAGCGTTTTGTCGGTGTGCCGGCACATTTGGTCGGGCCCAAAGTCAACGGGGCCGGGGCCTGGGCGTGTGCCGGCACAGCCTGAGCGGGAACACATTCTAACCCTCGGACGCTGAATTAATTTGCTTGAAGCGCCCCTGTGCACGTTATGGCTACGACCGGGGCCCAGGGGGCGGGCCCGGAGTCGCTTTGAACATCATGCCATGGCACAGTGCGTTTCAGCGTCATGACATCGTGCGCGCGTCGCGTTATATAGTGTTCCGGTCGCGATCTTCGCGTCCGACGGGGCAGCCCCTGGGTCGATGGTCGTTTCGTGTGGTTTATGTACGAATTCGTCCTTCCGGACGGAATAAAATGCTACGTCCGGACATCCTTTTTTCTTGATTGTGGGTTCGAATTTCCACGCGCGCGTGACGACGACGACGGCGGCGACGACGACGACGGCGGCGGCGGCGGCGGCGGCCGCGGCGACCGACCAACCGAGAGCCCCTCTGAAGGGAACTGATAGGGGCGATGATATACGACTCCCGATGCTGCGAGAAACCGGGGTCCTGCGCAGAAGAAGTAACTAGCCTCCAACTAGCTGCTTTTATAGCTCCAAACTTGCATAGATGCGTTTCTGCGGACCGCGCGCGGTGTGCCGGCACACCGGAATGTGCCGGCACAAGCCGGCACAAGCCGGATTCGACTGTGCCGGCACACCCCGGGCAGGCCGTCTCTGTGCCGGCGCGGCTACCGGCTCAGCGAGCTCGTTTGCTTTCCACCCTGCTCTGTATCGCCAGGCCACGGGAATCCGGGTCGGCAGCCCTACAAGCCCGCCTGCAAGCTGAGTTCATTCCGGTGAAGTATCTTTCGAATGTGCTCATAGACAATATTGTCATCACTACTTGTGCTATTCATGCGCAAGTCCATGTTCACTAAAATCTAAACGAGAACAAAATTTAAACTTGTATGAACCACGACATTGTAAAATACTCACCTTGTTCGACTCGGCTGCCTGTCCCATGTTTTCAATATCCTCATCAATGAACTCGTTACAAGAAAGATCGAGCGACCGAATGGGTAGGTTCCCATCCTCGAGAATGTGAACGAGCGCAGCTGATGACTCTTTCGACAGTGAATTTCCGGATAGGTTTAGGCTGGTGATCGTGCAAGTGGAGCAGAATCCTTCCAGCAACATGCGCCCGCCTTCGTCGACAAGGCGGTTGAGGCGTAAATTTAGTTCCACTAGTGATTCATTCGCTCTCAGTGCCCGCCCTAAGTAGCGCCCGCCCTAACAAGGTCAGTAGTTGCAGATTCTCTTGCTTTATTTTATGCTACCTCAGCATGTATTTGATTATCAGCTAGATTTAGACTGGTCAATACACTAGAAGCGCCAAGAAGTTTTGATAGCAAGCGGATTCCGTGGTTTGTGATCTTATTGTGCGCAAGATCCAGATGGGTGATTTGCGAGTTCTGAAAAAAACAACAGATGATTTCTGAGAATGATGGTAGCTGCACCTTGATCAATCCTGTCATCAACATCCTTAGAAGATCATCATCAATTAAATTCGACTGAAGAGCCAGGGCAGTCAAATTTTCACAATCGAGAATACATTTTGCTAAGCAGTTCGCATCAGATATCTGATTTCACGCAAAAGGTCATTCCTCGAAAATCTAGGCGGGACTGACCTTCATTCCAAACAGCATTCGATCATATTTCATGCCAATCTTTTTCACGCCATATGTTATTTCTAGCTTGGTGAGGTTAGGCAACTACGAATCATCTTATTGAATGTTAGGCTGCTACGGAACGCACCATTTTACAAATTAGTTCGACGTCAGGATGTCCCAAAAGCTGCCGTGTCTACATAGAAAAGTTGGGTACAAACGAGACGATGCAGCAGAACTGACTGTTAGAGTAAAAATGTAATCTTGACAGGAACTGACGGCTTGCAAAAGATCGGGCAAGCGTGAGCCCTGCGCTACAGGAGGTTCGCGGAACCTCGATAGGAAGTTTCAGAAGACATACCTCTGAATCAGGTTCAAATTCCTCGAGGCACTTGTGAGATTCGGCCGATTAAGGAAACGTGGATGCTATGAAGATGCGCACCTGTTGAAGATATGTCTCGAAGAAGAGCTGTTTCCAAGTCAAGCCGTGTTCACTTATTTGGCAATTCCGTAACATGAACTGCTCTACGCATCGCCTCTTCCAGTAATTTTCATCAAATACAAACTCAGCCGCTATCTTTGCGTCTAGCTCCAAGGAAAGCTTCCCAGTAATTTCGCGCATATGCCTGTATGCATACACATACAAAAGGATATCCACCGTGCATCCGAACCTAGCTGGTATATTTTCGTGTACCGGGTAGCTTTCAAAGTTTCTGACAACAACGTTGATACACTTATCTGATAGGCGTTCAAGTGTCAAGTCTGGGCTTCTTATGTTGTCACCGGTCGACCCTAACCATTGCTGCCCTGCAGGGAACTGTCGAATTCACCGTCTTCGAATTACTCACCTTTTGTACCATCGCCTTTCAACTTATCCCGAAAGATGCGGGCTTTATACCTTAAAGCTGCGCGTAACTAAGCAGTCTTCGCCAACAAAAGTCGCACCGTTGAACTTGGTCGCACAGAGAAGATTCGTCGGTCGTGAAACCGACTGTGAGTGCTTTCATGAAGACAACGCAATGCAGAATCTGATATTCATATACACAATGATGGATATATACAGGTAATCTTCGATTAGCCAGGAAAGTAGCGCACAGGCCTAATCTAGAGCGCATTAGAAGCAGCCCAAGAGCCAGCCCGTGCCGCAGCTCGCACCGCCGTCGCCGCCCCCCCGGTCCGACCATGGCGGGCCCGCTGCTCGTCAGGGAATCCGGCGCGACGTAGTCCGTGCACGGGCTGACGGTGGCGCATTCGGGCTCCCGTCCCATCCAGTGTCGGTTGGCAGCGGCGACTTCAGGTCGTGCACGAGCACGCTGGTTCGGCGCCCCCTGGCATCTCTGGGTCCGGACCCGCCAGGCCGCCGACTTCCACATTCGAGGAGGGCGCACGACTGTGCCGCGCTCCTGGGAACGGCGCTGGTTCGACTCGGAGACTCTCCGCGGCGCCCGAATCGCTCGCCACCGCGCGGCGGGCTGTCAGGGCAGCCGCGTGTACGTCCGAGACCCACGGCGTCAGCCTCTGTGGCGTGGGCTACGCCGAGCGCAAGCGGACCTTCCCCGGCATCATCACCTGCCGTAGCTAGGCATGCGACGTCGTGTCGCTCTGGCGGCTCGATAAATCATCTTCTCCTGCACCGTCTCGAGGCGGCGCTGGTGACGGGGGAGGAATCGCTGGAACCGACAAGTCCGCTTGCGATAATATGTCACCTAATATTTGCATCTGTCCTTCCGAGACAGTACGTGGCTGTGACTGAACCGTTGGTTCTATCAGATCTTCGTCGTCACTGTCCATCGTATCAGGTGCACGATATCCTCGTAATCCTATACTGAGATCAAGCGGTCTTAGAACCGCACCTATCTCTGATCTAAGTGTGGGTGCTAAGGCTCCTGCTTCTGTATCTGGTTCTTGGAAACCTGGCCTGTCGAACCCCCACTCAGCGGTTAGCGCTGACTGGGTGGACTCTGAGGACTCCAGTTTCCGGTAGCTGGGACCAAATATGGTGGTAATTTGCCCTCAGCCTGACTCTTGACTAGGGTATGGTAATAATTAGTTAGTAGACTCCCTACTCAGGTAGGTAGCCTAGTCTGCGATCGGGCTCTCTGTCCTCAATCGCCGGAGTTAAGTGAGTAGGAAGGAAAAAGGGTCAACGTCATGGAAATCCAGATATGTATCCTCCGTCGCTCGCTATATCCATCCTAAAATCAGACTCTAGATACAAGCACACTGCACTGCCAACCTCAAGCTAAGTCAGATAAGATACCTCAGTCTAGTCTCCCGCCACAGGAGTAAAATGACCCCTGAGGGATTGTACCTCTTTTTTTCCAGGGAACACGAAACGCCCCCGACAATTTTTGGTCGGCGGCTGGAGCGGGCGGCTGGGGGCTTTACTCAGGCGCCGGGGGGGCGGGCGCGGTCTAAACTAGAATGTGAGTGTGACGAACATAGGATATCGTTTTTGGTGTAACACACGGGTGCGACACACGGGCAGTTGCCTAAGCGGGCAGGCAGGACAGTTACCACAGGCCACGCGGACATTGCTATGGACATGCACGATTTGATCTTGGGCGTCGCGCAAGCCAGGTGCGGGTCACTTACGTTGCTGAGAGTCACCCAGGCCAATATTGTGCCTTGCAACAACAAACGCACGTGGTTCTTGGATGAGCATAGGGGCTGCATTGTCGGCGTCTGCTGAGAAATCATTACACTTGAGAGCAATCGCTGACCCTGCAAAAGCCTATGCAATGGGGGTACAAAACGAAGTAAGCATGATAAAATATTGGATCAGTACTCTGGAATGCTTTACAGCGACGTGAGCACAAACATTTTGGCGCAGAGTGCAGTCCTTAAGAAAGCAAACGGCTTCGGGCGCAACAGACAGACCGCAATAGCCGTTGTTGCAGATGTTGCATCGGGACAGGGTCGCTCTTGCGCCGGGCTGAAGAAATATTCCCGATGCAGTAGCGTTGACCACGGTGCTGCGATCAAGATGCACACCAGCACCTGCGACGGTTGCCAATTTGTCTGTATTTGGATGTGCGCTCATATTTCCTCTTTAAGGCACACTCAAGACACGGAAAAGGACCACCGTGGACGACAATGGCTGCTCCACCAGAGCCCAAGTTATCTACAATGATGCGGTGGCATGCGACAAAACCATTTTTTATCATGAGAGCCGATGTCGCTTCCGTACACGCTCGTGGCCGGCGGAGAGTTAGACCAACAAGAGCACCAGAATGGGCGCGCCAGCATAGACCCCCCCCAAGTTCAATGACAACGCGATCGGGCATTGTCACATCTCCGATGACACGAACATCTACCTCAACAATTAGGTCTGCCCCATCTTCCCAGTAGTGGCCCGGCCCCAGGACAAGTGTTTCACCTGGCAGCGCAGCTTCGAGCGCGGATCGCAGGGACACGCGTGATTTTGACAAAGGCAAGCTTTGAGGAATCTTTTGGTTTCGGCCGCTGCAGTCACGGACGGAAAATGATCTGGGCCGCTTGGGGCTAGGAAATGAATCGTGACTACGCTTGAGCACATCCATCTTGGTCGGAGGATGCACGACACCGTAATTTTGATTGTGGTCTGGACATCCATCGATTTGCTCCGCTGGCAAAACCTTGACAAGCAGATGATCCTCCGCACACGACTTTGCCCAGTTACGGCAGACAAGCGCGCATGCACATCGAGTAGGTATTGGTTCACACATGGCCGTGACACGCGCTGCTACATTTTTTGGCCAATTTCCATAGCCCCCCCGTCGAGCCTCAGCATCAGCGTCTCGGCGCTGGATAACCAACGGCTTTAGCCAGGTTGCTTCTGCAGTGTCTACATTGTACCAGAAGGGGTCGCTGGTCACTGCATCTATGCGCGTCTCCCATGCAGCCCCTGTACACTCGCGATTACATTTGGCCAGAAGCGCTAGACGACGACGCTTCAGGAATTCATGTTCGTCAAGACCCAACTTCGCGGAGCCGCGCGTGTCGTCTACGAAGTAAATATCTGTTGCTAGGAGCTCGCCTTCAGAGCATGCACGTCGCTCTTCGATTTGTTTTGAGTACTCAACTTCGTTGACGTCCAGTGTAGGCCCGCCTCCGGCATTCTCCTTCTCGATAGTCTCCATGAGTCGACGTTCAGAAAACGTGAGGAAAGCTTTCGTGTCTGTAGCCCCAGATGGCAGGGTGATGATGCGACTCTCATGCTCTGTAAGTGCCTGCCTTTCAACCACGCTCAAGGACTTCGTCAGTGCCTCGGGATCCGGTCCAGCACGCTCCTGCCAAGCAGCAAATTCTGCCTCCATTGCCGCCACTTCACGCGCAGCCTCTTCTTCGGGATTCTTCAGCTCTAGTGACGTGAGTGGAACGTTTTCATCATCGATTCCAGGATCTAGATCAGTGCGTGTGCTCTCATCAAATTCACGAGCTGCGGTGGCCACCTCAGCCGCAGCTGCACGTGCGTGGGCGACGTCTTGTACGTCCTCGAGTTCGGCTAGAGTAGCGGCAATGTCAACCTCAGGAGTATTGTTGGACTGAGTCGATAAAATGTCTCGAAGGCCGCTAGCACGATCGTTAGCAACTTTCTGCTGAAGCTGTATGCTATCAAAGTTTCCCTCCGTTAGCGTAATGAATTCGAGCTTTTGCTTCTGGCGTGCTTTTAGAAGGATATTTTCCTCAACGGTGGCGATGCATATTAGGCGATAGATGTGCACGTCACGAGTTTGGCCAATGCGGTGTGCCCGGTCCATGGCCTGTGCATCCATCGCAGGGTTCCAGTCACTATCGTAGAAAATCACGGTGTCCGCGCCTGTCAGATTGATACCCAATCCACCAGAACGAGTGGAGAGAACAAAACAGAAGATAAAGGCGTCTGAATTGAAACGATCCATTAGGCGCTGCCTTTCTCCCGGAGGAGTTCCACCGTCGAGTCTCAGGTAGCTATGTCCATGCCAACACAGAAACGATTCGAGAACGTCCAACATCTTCGACATTTGAGTGAAGATTAAACAACGGTGCGCGCCATTCTTTAAGCGTCTCAGTAGCGGAGCAAGCTCGTGAAACTTTCCTGAGTCCCACTGTATGAGCGAACGATCTGGGAAGGAAACCCGTAGCGCGAGAGCTACGTGATGGATTGGTCGCATTCCGGCAGAAACATACGCGCAGCACGCTATCACGTCGTCCGCGTGTGGTTCGCGGCGTGGAGCAGACGCTCGGGCAATGGGAAACGCAGATGAGAATGGCAAGGTTAAAATGAGTATTGGCGCGGGTGAAACGGCCGCTGATACTGCAAAAGCAAAACGTCTTATTATGCTGTTGAGGTTCTGATATCGACCTGAGAGTGTTGCGCAGGATTCAAGCTGATGCCGTAATGTGCGTGATGACGCGAATCGATGTCTGTTCGCCTGAAGCCGGCGCCAGTCATCCGTTGGATACACGCGGCTACTGTCGCTAACATTATTACCGCTCAAGGTAACGGCACGCCAGGCGGTATTCATTGGTGTAGCATATCGAAAGTTGCGAGCAAGGAACGCGCGGGTGGAGAATGAGACATTTGAAGGCGCGGTTGCACCTACAATTAGTGCACATTTTGCAACATGGCGAGATAGCACCCTAGCTGCGTCTTGTTCTACGGCTGCATGTAGGTGGCGTTGATGTAGAGCAAGGGAATGAAGTAGCGCCTGTGGTGTGAGCTCCGCACTCAAATTGATGTCCTCCAAGAACATCGGGCGGCGCGCTTCATGCACGAAGTTCACAGGTGCCAGGAGATGGCGCACTGATTCGAGCGGCATTGGGTCCTCATCTAGCTTGGCTTGACACAGCACACTGCCACCGATATCATTGACAGTTATGTCAACAACTGCAGCAGATACAATGGACGGCATCACCAACACGAGGTTTGGCAACACAAGAGGTGCGACGACAGGACGTGGCTCAAATAGATCTGGATGATTACAAACCTTGCGCAGCTGCATCACAACATTCATCATGGAGACAAAATTACTGCCACTCGGTGCTCTTTCCATTGCACATCGGGTCGAACTGCGGGCCATGAATTCCTCATACAGCAGCTGTTGGCGCCGGGAAAGCCGACAGGGCACGTCATGCTCAAATTTTCCAGGTAGCTGCTTGGCGACATCCTTCTTAAGGCGACGCAGTACAAAAGGACGCATGATTGAATGGAGCCGTCTAACGAGCTCCTCGGACATCTTGGATTTTCCCTCAACTGCACCTTGTAGAGGGTTAGCGAACCAATACGAAAACTCATGGCGCGACCGAAATATATGAGGCATGAGAAAATGCATTAGGGACCAGAGTTCCATGAGCGAATTCTGCAGAGGCGTGCCTGTGAGGAGCAATCTGCGTTGTGCTTGAAATGCGAGGAGCGTGCGCCAGCGCCGACTGTCGAAATTTTTGATGTTGTGCGCCTCATCAAGTATCAAATAATAGAACTTCTTGCGGCGGAAGATAGACGCGTCCTGCACAGCCAGCTGATAGGAGGTGACCACGACGTGTACAGCTGAAGCCTTAGACCATCCAGTGCGCAGCTGCTTTCGAGCCTTGGCTGCTCCGTAGTAAGTGACAATCTTGAATCCAGGGCAGAACCTCTTTAGCTCCGACTCCCAATTGACGAGGCATGACGTTGGCACGACTACGAGGTGTGGGCCCCAAAGACCTTTGTGAGCGGCAAGGTGTGCCAGCAACGAGATGGTCTGTAGCGTTTTGCCTAGACCCATCTCATCTGCCAGAATACCATTCAACTGCCTCTCGTGCATAGACACAAGCCAATTTAGACCAGCCTGCTGGTACGGCCGAAGCCTGACCGTGCTATCTAGTAGGAACGGTCGTGCTGCATCAGCTTGTCTGGCGCAAGCATCTGCCACCGCCAGTCGCGAACTTAAGCTGAGCCCGTTCTCGCTTGCCTCGTGATATTCACCTTCAGAGATTTCAATATCGTGCATATGCCGAGTTCGCGGATTCTTCTGAGTGCTCTTCGAATTGTCTGAAGTTGTAGGCCCCATGGAAGCACCATGACTGGCGCCGCCCTCTCTGGTAATCTTATCTGACTGCGCCGACTTGTTCATACGCTCTGCAAGGTCTCCAGCGTACTGCTCAGTTTGCCGCACAAGATGCACCAAATGCTTGTCCATCGCCTTGCGCTGTGATATCTGCCACTCTAGCCGCTGCTTGTATCCAATGATGCGGCCCATTTTCACCCAGAAGTGCTTCACTAGACGAGACACACGTCCAGCTAGCTTCTTAACTGCTACCTACGTTGTGTGAGTAAGCTTTGTCATGATGCAAAAAGACTTTGTCTCCCCAAAAACCTCGCGCTCACGGTTTTTTTTCTCTCGGCGGCTCTCCATGCCCCTGAAATGTTGTACGATTGCCTAGATAGGAGAACGCGAACAAACTCGATGCGACGGCTGGATTATCATAGCAAGGTACCTTGGATTTTTTTTTGCGCAGAATCGCATGCCGCTTTCCTACACGCAAGACCCGATTATCTCCAAGATACCCATGCTGTTTAAGCCATTTAACACCGCAGCTCGCGTTCTACCTCGAAGTCTGCAGCCATCCACGCCATTTCCTTCAGCAGAAAATCATGATGCGTCTCGAGCCTTAGAGGGCTCTCGCGAGCTTCTAACTTTTCATCGAGGGTCACCACTTTGAGCAAGCGTTGCAGCTCGGAGAGCCGGTCTTGGCACTCATCCGTGGACGCTTCCACCTCCGCACCGCTGCCCTCTTCCAGGATTGCACTGTGCATACCGATTACTTTCTACAAGCCGCATACACCGATGTCGGGCGAATCCCACTCGCTACATAGCGCTATGGGAGCCGGATTACCACCCGGGAGGCATCGGTCATTACCCGCGGCCGCTACGCGGCCGCACGGTGGCCAGCGGCTCCTGCTATGGGAGGCGGAGTACCGGGTAATGCCCGGGAGGCCTCGGTAATTGCCGGTAATAGCCGGGTAATTACCGCAGAAGGGTAATTACCCACCGGGTAATTGCCGCAGAAAGAGCTCGCCGAGATTACCTTAAATTTACAAGCCTAGGCTGAGCGGAGTTCCTAGGGCTGAGCATTACCGGGATTACTTGAGACCTGCGGAGGCCCTTAGGGCGTACGTAAGAGCTCCGACGTACGTGGCATGTCACAGAACATACTCGTGCTTCCCCCGAGTCTACGATCGACTTCAGCCGTGCATGCCACTGGCCTCGAGGCGGCCGTCCTCGGCCGCGGCGATGAGGCCCGCGAAGTGCCAGTGCCACTTGCCGACGAAGCAGCCGTAGTGGGCCTCGACCTGGTGGCCCTTGGGCGTGAGCGCCTTCTTGAGCGTCATGCGGAACAGGTCCGCGAAGATCTCCGAGTAGCGCTGGATCACGTGGGCGTCGTCGTCGTCGAGGACGACCGCCCGACGCGCCTCGCTGTTCAGCACCGCGAGGACCGCCATGAGCGGCTCCATCTTTGCGCGGATCGACGCGACATCGCTGGCGTCGACGCCGGGAGCGTCGGCCATGGCGTCGAAGAAGTCCGCGCGGCCCTTGAGGAGCCGCGTTGCGTGGCCGCCGGCGAGGCTCGTGCCGCCGCGGAAGTAGGCGAGCGCGTCGGCGTTGCAGGCCTTCATGCCGAGGCGGACGGCGTTCTGCGTGGACCGCGGCAGGTCGGCGACGGCTTTTTCGGCCGTCTCAAGCTGCGCCTCGGCGACGGCGACGGCGTCCTTGGCCTGCTTGACGTCGTCCACAAGGGCCTTCAGTACGTCGCCGGCCCTGGCCCACGCGTTCCAGCAGAGCGTCCACTTGTTCCAGCACGCGAGCTTGCAGCCGCGCTTCTGCGCCGCGGACCACTTGATGGTGGCGGCCCGGCAGGTCTCGGGCACCTGTAGGACGCCATGCAATTTGGACCAAGAAAACATCAATTTTAGGGGCAACATAGCGGAGCTGAAGAACAAAACCACAGGAGCCGCCGAGCCACCACCCCCGAGGGACCCCTCGCATCTGGGAGGAGACCGAAGCTCGCGGGCGGGTGCGCCCGGGAAGTCGTCCTATGGTCCTACCGAACCCATGGGTTTCGAGGAGGTTGTAATTTGGACCACCCCAGTGGGGTCGGCCTCCACGGGCCCGCACTCGTCGGTAGCTGCGGCCTGGCGGGCATCAGGGAGTCATGGTCGTCGGCGCCGTCTTCGAGCTCGCCGTCGGAGCCGTCGTCAGCAGCGTCGGCCGAATCCTCAGCCGGTTGGCGGCGCCGCACTCCCCGTCAGAGTCGCAGAGCTTCGGCGTCGCATTGTAGGCCCCGTGGGGCTCGATGACGAGCTTGGCGCCGCGCCGCGCGGCCCGAGCGCGGCCGCCGGACCGTCCGTGATCGACTTCTGCTTCTTCTTCATGGGGCTCTTTGTCGGACTCTTTGGAGCGGGCGCAAGCGCGCGCGCGCACGCTGCACGTCTAGCAGCGCCCCGGCGCGGTGCCCGTCCCCCCGTCGTCGTCCCGCGGCGCGTCGTCCCCATCGACCCGCGCCCCCCCAACGCCGCGGCGCGTCGCCCCCGCATGCTCACCGCCAAGGCCGCGGCGCTGCCACCCGATGGGCAGCCCGAAATCGGTCCCTCCGAGACCAAATCCGACGGGGACTTCGAGCGCCGCCTCGCGAGGTCCCCAGGGAGTGCCCGGGGGCGTGCGACCTCGAACCCGCGCCGAAGGCGACCAAGAACCGGCCGCGCGACAGCCCTCAGAGGCGGACCATCGTGTGGCTCTCCTACGTCCAAATTACAAACTAGTCCAAATTACAATAGTACATCTACATGCACTTTCTTGTATTAATGTACGTCCATATGACTAGAGGACGGGGGGCGGCGAGAGTGTTCAACAAGGGAGGGAGTTTTCAATAGGGGGGAAGCATGAAATTGCCGGTGCGAGTGACGAGGAAGTCGATTCTATCTCTGATACTTAACATGGTCTTTTACATCGCATCCGGAGATGAAGAGTATGAATTCTGGGAGGCAAGTAAGCTGGGCGATGTTAAGGCAATGAAAGAAATACTTGATTTGGTTCCGGAGCTTGATCTAGATTATCATGATGACGAGGGCCGGACTCCTCTACTCTTGGCGGTATTAGGTCATCATGCGAAAGCTGTGCAATTCCTGATATCTCGAGGTGCAAATGTTGAGGTCAAGGGTCGCTGGCCTGCGCCAGAAGAAGCACCGCTAGCCGTTGCGGCAGGTCTTGGTGACCTGGACCTGCTTGACGTGCTGCTTCTTGGCGGGGCGAATGTCGGGGCAGCAAGTGGACCTGGTGGACGAACACCACTCATGGTCGCGGCGGCAGCGGGGAAGCTTGATGCCGTGGACATGCTCCTAGGTGTTGGCGCGACCGTCGATGCCACGCGTGGCGATGGCACTACAGCAGCCTGTTGGGCTGCACGTGGTGGACACGGTGATGTCCTGCGACTTCTGCTGGATAATGGCGCGAACGTCAATCATGTGAGGCATGAATCTTTTACTTGCACGAATATCAAGCCTACACGTAGGTCGACGTGCTTGATGGCTCTTCCTTGCTTCACTTCGCCGCACAGGCCCCAGTCGCCGAAACTGTCGAGATTGCGCTCAAGGCGGGCGCAAGTGCTTTCGCGAGGACGAACATCATGGTGCGTCGGGTCGACTTACAAGCGGCGTGTCTGTCGATATACAATTACTCTCGGCCGAGTGTTCGAATCTTAACTCGCACATGAAGAGTGAAGTTGATAAGCTAGATCCTGATATTTGATGTTGTTACTCAGGCACCCAAGGGCCCGCCACAGGGCGGTGAGGAATCTGGCGGAGACGTACGCATACCTGCACATGGTGTCAGTGTCACAAAGGAAGGTACGGTTTCTGGGAATGGCGTGTACCAGCCTGCGCGTGAGGAGCTCAAGGGTGGGCTCACACCCGCCATGTCCGCTGCGGCTAGCGCTGCCATTGATGCTCTTCGAGTTCTCCTTGATCACACCAAGGAGGCTTCACCCAACGACCGAGCTTATCAGGAACAAGTCGACGCAGTCGATGTTTCAGGGCTGACAGCATTGGCTTGGGCCGCAAGTGTGCCATTGGGCAGACGATCGGTTGAATGTATGCAGCTACTCTACTTGTACGGTGCTCGAGACGACAGCCTTACAGTCGACGGTCGGGCGTTGGTCCATGTTGCTGCAGATGGTAAGAACGCGCACGCTCTGGTGTTCCTCATTGATGTTAAGCAGCATCCGGTTGACCTCCTATCGTTTCGCAAACAGCACACACCCCTGATAATTGCCTCCTTTCGTGGTTCAAAAGCGTGCGTGAAGGCCCTTCTGAGACGAGGTGCCAATGTCAACGCTGCTGCGTTGGATGGAGGCACGCCCCTGATTGCAGCTGCTTCCGGCGTCCAGACATTCGTCGCCAAGTTGTTGCTAAAGAAAGGTGCGAATGTCTTGGCAAGGCTGAATAGTGGCGAGTATCCAAGTCAGCTTACGCCCAAGACGCCTCGCGGACGTCTCCTTAAGCACTCTTTGTCCCTTGCCGAGCATGAAGCGTGGCGCACGCTTGAACATGCCCAGAGGCTTGCAGGTGATCCGCCTCCTGAGCCAGAAGAGGTCTTGGAAGATATAGAGTATTCTCTGCTGGATGATATTGAAACGGATGGTGACATCGGAGATGAAGTAGCCGGCGATATCTGGGACCTAGAATCTTGAAGGATGTGAATACGCAGGCGGGTGGACTGTTTTAAGGCACTTCTTGGCCTGTCCTATGAAGGCCGCGCGCGTGGCAATCTGGAGAGTTTTCTCTAGTTAGAGGAACATAAAGTGCCAAGTAAAGTGCCCCTAGTTAGGCCCCTCCTCTCTTCCCCTCATACTTTCTTTCTCCACGGTTTATGCTAGGGGTTCCAAATACGGGGCTGCACCTAAAAAGGGAATTCCTCGTTGTCAGCATAGTGAACGTGCGATAGAGCTCTATCTGAGTAGGGTACTAGCCTCAACTTGAAACACCATCATCCCCATGCTTTACATTACCCTGCTCTACTATCATGATGACATTGGTTGTTGTGTGGTTTTGAGTGCGGGGACCGCACGAGCCAGCTGTTGGAGGTGTGGGGGAATGGCTGTAAGGGCTTAGCTAATTCCCTTCTATTGGAGATCGCTGGCGCTTAGCAGGATCTTCAAGTTGATCAATAAAGGCATAGGCATTAGTAATTGGTACTCGTCTCTGGATGGTTGGTTGTATCACCCTGGTACTCGTCTGACGGGTCCCTCGACATTGATATTATATTATACATGTAATCACACCTCATCATCCATGGAACCTTTAACCTGCGTCGTGGATAACGGGAGCTACGAAGTGCGGGTCGGGTTTTGTGGCGACGTAGTCCCGAGACTCATAGCGCCGAATTGTACTGCAAGACCACGACAGCAACTTAGAGTATTGGTGGCGGACGAGATCTACAATATCAGAAATCTCGCACAATTAGAGGTAACTAGACCTTTGGAACGTGGTATCTTAGTAAACGCAGCATGTCAGAGAGATGTATGGAAGCGATGCTTCGATATAGTGAGGTGTGAGCCGCGGGACTCCAAGGTAACTGTCACGGAGTCAGTCTTGTCGCCACCTTCTGTACAGCGTGCCATGGACGAAGTTTTATTTGAGGACTTCGGGTTCTTGGGCCGATGCCGAGTGCCTGCGCCAGTATGCGTGGCGGAAGCTGCGGCGCAGCTTGATCAAGACGTGTTTCACATGCAGAACGATGGTTTGAATGACGTTTGGAAGCAGCAACGATGTCTGAATGAAATAAATCTAGTTGTCGACTTTGGACACACGGCGACGACGGTGACACCTGTCGTTGCAGGGTCCACAATTCCATGTGCGATCCGCCGCAATGATATTGGTGGTCAAGTGTTGACCGGGCATCTACGTGAACTTATCAGCTACCGCCAATACAATATGGCAAACGAGGGCGTGACCTTAGATCAGCTCAAACGACGCTTGTGCTTTGTATCTCAAGATTGGAAACAAGATATTGTAGCGTGTGAAGGTACGACACGTGAACGTGGTGTTGCTGGTCCACACTATGCCGAGTACATTCTCCCTGATTTTCAAACCCTTGATCATGGTTATGCTCGTCTCACACGATGTCCCATGTCTGTGTTCGATGAAGTTCGCCGCCGGACACCGATGGATGCGATGCCCCAATTCCTGCGACTTGAGTCGGAGAGGTTTTGTGCTCCCGAACTTCTGTTTTCCCCTCAAAACATTGGTCTTAGTCAATGCGGAGTACATGAACTTATTGCCGATGCTATCCTCCACGTGGACTCGTGCTTGCGTACACCACTATCGCAGCGCATCATTATCTGCGGTGGCGGTTCGCAATTGCCGGGCCTGTGCAATAGAGTGGAACGTGAACTTTTCTCTTTATTACCGCAGCGTGTCTGCGTCATGCGCCCCAGCGACGCGGACCATCTTGCTTTTAGAGGTGCCGCTATCCTAGCTGCCATACCTGACAATTATCTCTCCAAGACAGAGTGGGAAGAATACGGCCCAGACTGCCTCTACGTCCGTCCTTAGTCAACGTTCCTATTGCGAAGTAGTCATGCGAACCGACATCTGTCCATTTCACGGGCCATCTTCAATCCTGGTAGGGGGCACACCTGCGGGGCAGCTTTCGATAATAAATACACGTAAATCTGTGTTGTACATGGGCTATAGTTCACTAGCTACTCAATTCAGATAGATCCCTTTTCAAGTTAGCGAGGATAACCTCCCATAAGGAGGGGAAGGATATTGGGTGGCTCTGTACCAGCGAGCCACTAGGGAGATACAAAACTCTCTATCTCTCTAGAAACAGCGCGATGCAGCGCTGTCTCGGCGCGAGGTCCGGACGCTTGATGAGCACAATAGTTTAAGAGGGCAGTCGTGGGGTATTCTTTCTCCCCGTGGCCAGCCGAACCTATTTTAGAGAGAGGGAGTTTAGCTAGTAGACTAGGGTAGTGGGGTGGGCCTTGAGGCACACTCAACCTACCCTTTATGCCAATTATTATTATCTTGCTTGACTAGAAAGCTACTTTCACGGGCCCGGGGAGCTCACCTTATGGCGCAGCGTGCGCTAGCAGCGCGCGAACTATCCCAGACCGGAAGTCGGCGCGCGCACCGCCGCAAATCAGGGGCAGCCCATCGCCCGGGCTCCCTGGTGCGCTGTACGCCCTAGGCAGCTTTGGACCCAGGTGGAAAGTGGACGGGAACATCATGTCGGACCACATATCTTATATCATCCTCATCTTGCGTAATTAATAGCTTGTTGCACAGGGGCGCAACCGTGGGCGTGCGCACAATGTGGCCGCGCCCTTCGAACAAGCCACGGACCCCGCGGGTCGGTCACCGACCGCGTCCAGGAAATTCACAAACTGGTCATCATGGTCGGTACAGCAACTACCGACCTCAATATCGAGATAAGTGCGGGTCGCGTGCTCGTACGGTGGGACATTACCTCATGGGGCGGACCTTGGGTGAAGGCTCTTTCGGTAAGGTGAGACTCGGTACTCACATCTTGACCGGTGAGAAAGTAGCTGTGAAAGTCCTAGAGAAATCACGGTTGGTGGAGGCAGCTGACGTGCAAAGGGTTGCAAGAGAAATCAAGATTCTAAAACGGAATCGTCACCAAAACATTATTCAGCTATTCGAAGTCCTCGACACACCCACCGCGATATATCTTATTATGGAAAACGCAGATGCGGGTGAGATGTTTAACTATATTGTTCGAAATAAACGAGTCGAAGAGCTTCAAGCCTGTCGCTTCTTTCACCAGATTATTGATGGAGCCGAATACCTTCACGACATGGAGGTAACCCACCGTGACCTCAAACCAGAAAACTTGTTACTTCAGAGTTCGACGCATGGACTCCTGGTTAAGATTGTTGACTTTGGACTGTCAAATACCCATGATGGCGGTACTCTTCTTCAGACGGCGTGCGGTTCACCCTGTTATGCTGCGCCAGAAATGATAGCTGGTCTTAGATACTGGGGACCTAAAGCAGACGTTTGGTCCATGGGCGTGATTCTCTATGCACTTGTGTGCGGCTACTTACCTTTTGAAGATTCCAACACTGCTACTCTTTACAAAAAGATCATGGCTGGTACTTACACTTGCCCCAGCTGGATATCCTCTGAGGTTCGTGATCTTATTTCACGGATCTTAAACACGGACCCTGCGAAGCGCATGTCGATCTCCGAGATTCGCCAGCACCGATGGTATTCACAAATTTCCAAGTTTCAGGCTTGCGAATCGGGCGCTTTGGCTCAGACGTTAGATGCCAAGTTGCCGGACCCTCTCGTCCTCGCTCAGATCGAAGCCATTGGCATTCATCGCAAGGTTGTTGAAGACGCCCTTCATCATGGCCTCCACAACAATGCGACTACTACGTACCACCTCTTGCGAAACCGACGCCTGCGCAATGCGCAAAATTCTGCCGACGTCAAGCAGGATGCTTCAGGATGCGCCAAACAATTCAATTACCCCGAGCAATGTCGGGAAGAGCCTGATGCCCTAGAAGCATATCCAAATATCCCCAAGCTCTGCCTCCCTAAGCCGAGTAGTGCCACTGAGTATTCAGTGGGCACCAATAATGCCTCACGTAATCCCCAGTCGACTACAAATACACAAGCGACGACGGCACGCGCGCCCGCAACGAAGAGGCCCGCGTCTGCGGGTGCTAGCGTCCACGTATCTCAGACGGCCAGGCTTTGTGATGTCACAACACTGGACCCACTAGCTACCAAAGTGAGCCAAGGATCATCCGTAGTGTCGGCGCTTCAATCCATGGGCAATCGGTCGCCCCTTTTCCTGTCACCAGACCATGGAATGGATAAGTACCGGCGGCCATCTATTTCGAGTGGTGAGAAGAAGCAGAACCTGCTGCTGTGTTCAGAACTTCACCAAAATAACTTTGACACTACACTCAATAAACCTATCGGCATTATTGAACGATCAAGAATTCCCACTGGCGCTAAATCATCAGTCGTGCCACGACAGCCTAGTAGACCCAACACTCGTCAGCGAAAACAACGCACTGGGAGTCGAGCCCTCGCTTTGAACGTGGCGGTCCGATGAGCCCCTGTCCATAGAACGCTCGATTAGTCTTGGACCGAGGGTGGGGTATCGGACCGAGGCTATGAAGCAGGATCAGCTTTAGCGGCCAACACAGGCCACGTACAAGCCGAATGCACAGAAAAGGGCCAGCGGCTAGCATGGCGTATTTGTAGGTCGCAGGCGTCGGTGGGCCAAACCTGGGCGGGTGGAGTTAGGATACTTTACAAGCTTACTAGCGTCGCTGTGACGTAGACTAGTAGCGAGATAGTAAACTCCGGCACGGGCCGAGGGGGTTGACCGCCGGTATGCCTGGTGGTATGCGCCTACTATGCGGGTTTTATGCGGGTTTTATGCGGGTGGTATGCGGGTGGTATGCGGGTTTTATGCGGGTTTTATGCGGGTTTTATGCGGCTGCTATGCGGCTGCTATGCGGCTGCTATGCGGCTGCTATGCCGGTGGTACGCACCTAGCAGGGGTGCGGGGTTGTGACGTGGCTAGACTGCCGACCTAGCTTGGCCAGCGCCCCCGGGCGCCCTCACTACGCACCCTCGCTTGTGACCAAAGAGGACCGGGCTAGAAAGCCACAGGTCCAGGAGAGGAGGGAGGACTAGAGGGAGCCCAAAGAAGATAAGCGAACTGTGACGTAGACTAGTAGCGAGATAGTAAACTCCGGCACGGGCCGAGGGGGTTGACCGCCGGTATGCCCGGTGGTATGCGCCTACTATGCGGGTTTTATGCGGGTTTTATGCGGGTGGTATGCGGGTGGTATGCGGGTTTTATGCGGGTTTTATGCGGGTTTTATGCGGGTGGTATGCGGGTGGTATGCGGCTGCTATGCGGCTGCTATGCCGGTGGTACGCACCTAGCAGGGGTGCGGGGTTGTGACGTGGCTAGACTGCCGACCTAGCTTGGCCAGCGCCCCCGGGCGCCCTCATTACGCACCCTCGCTTGTGACCAAAGAGGACCGGGCTAGAAAGCCACAGGTCCAGGAGAGGAGGGAGGACTAGAGGGAGCCCAAAGAAGATAAGCGAACTTGGCTATATCGAGATATATCTGGCCACGAGATCGGCTCCCTGGACCTTCACTTTGAGATACAAGACCCGCAGTGGTTATCAAACAAGCTCGGCTCGACAGCCACAGGTGGCGTAGCAGCCTCATAAGTTCCATGGGCGGCATCGGTCGTGAGCTTGTTTGAGCTCTAGGGCTCGAACGAGTTGGTTCTCAGCACAGGCTTGGTAGAAGTGGATTGAAACAGGGGGATTGGATATCATCCCGTGTTCGTCATTTGGGGCGGATTGACTCACTCGGCATCTCAGTTGACTCCATCATCAATCAGGGCTTCATGTGCGAACCATCACCGCTTGACTCGATGGCTAGGGCCGCCTCGAGAGCGGCGGAGACGGCATCGTCGAATCTTGATTGTCTCCGCGCATTACTGGCACTGGCAAGTTGGCTAAGGTCAGTGCGTTTGCGAGCGTGCGAACCGCGCACATGTGCCTGGATCACTGCAGCTGAGCGTTCAGCGGTATGCGTTTTTGCTTCTATAGATCGGACCGGTTTCTGGTCGATGGAGGCGTGAGTGATTCTTTGAATCTTCTTGGCTGAGATCTCCTTGAGCACGAAATCAGCGTCCAGCTCTTTGGCAGCTCTAGGTCCAGCCTCTTGGACCACAGCCTTGGCATTGGTGCTTCGGATAAACAAGGGTTCATGTGTTATCGTGATTGCGTCCGGATGAATAGTCAAGGCGTGAGATTTCATCCCTTTGCACGTCGTAGTTGCGAAAAATTTGCGGATAAATTTCACTTTGCGATGGAGAAACGCGGTGTGGCAGCATTTCCAGTGTTGAACAGCATTTCGGCGGAAACAGGCTTGGATCATGAGAGCAGGCTGATGCAAACTAGCCAGAAAGCTGGTTTCGTTTTGAGACTCATCCCTGTGATTGCGACAGAGGCTGCCTCTTATAATACGTTGAATGAGAACTGCTGTTCGCTGTATGGAAAATTCAAACGCACACTCTTCTGGGACGTTTGACATGAACAAATTCGTGATCGGCACCCCGACAAGGGCCTTGCCTGGCAGGCCGAGTACAGGTTCGAGTTTCACATGCTGCTTAGGTTCAATGCGGTCTCTGATTCTTCGGCGAAGTCGTCCAAAATCAGGCTTCTCACTTCTCGGGCTCCCTAGAACGGGGGGGGCACCGTGATGTGCAGGAAGCTCAATCGGTCGAACCGTCCTATGAAGGACTTTTGCTTCCACACAGGATGTATGCAACATTTGAGCCTTAGAGCAGCTTGGCTTCTGCTCCTTCAAAATGCCCGCATGTGTATTTTGTGAGATAGGGACGCGCGCTCGGTTGATGAGAGGTGCTGGGTTCATTAGCTTAAGACTTGGTAACTGGGCCATAGTGCCTCGTAGTGTCTTGCTTGAGAGCAAGCTTGTCTTAGCAACAAGCGCTGCACACTTGGCCTCAGAGCATAGATGTTTTGCAGCCTCGAGACACCTGTCTTCAAGAATTTCATCATCGATGGGCATCATGAAGGGGTTGTCAATGTAGCTAAAAGTGTCAAAATAATGCTGGGCAGCGGGTGAGTCATCAAGAAAAGCAAGGTCAGACATCATCTTTACCAGATAATTATCACCCTGATACATGAGGCCAATCAAGTGGCTTTCCATGCGACTCGGGTTATCGCCTGCCGTAACACTCGATGCCGTGATTCGTCTCGTCTCCCTCCAATCTCTCGCCTTTTCTACTAGGTCCAGGGATATAAGGCGCAACTGGTCCAAAAGCACTACAAGCTCGCCGGTGTTGAACTGGACCGATCTCCACATCTTTTTCTCCGCAGTATCATCTACTACAGACGCCAAACTTGATGCCTCATCACTGTCTCCCCCACATACGGTATCTTGAATCCGATCAAGTTCAGAGTAAAGCGTTTTCAGTTTCTCTAATATTCTACATACCGTTCCAAGGTGTATTTCTCGTAATATTATGCATTTCATACAATCAATTTCTCTGCCAATAACAAGAGGTATATTGGGACCACGGCCTCGTTGCTTCTTGTTCTGCATGTCGACAATTTTTGTCACGTTGCGAGATCCAGACCCACGTAGAATTTGATGCCGCTGGAAAAGTCGCTCTTCAAACTTCTGCGCAGTACGAGAAGCAGACGAATGGCAATTTGAGACGCATGGGGAGACAGATATGACTTCTGGTACACCGCTCGTAGATTCCAACCGCTGGAGGATCTCCAGGCGTGATTCTTTGTCTACAGTAGATCTCATTGCAGCTTGCGCTGCGCTACCTGCTAAACGCCGCAATGAGACTTTCTCGCGGCGCATCTCTCGCAAGCCCGCGATCTTGTAGCGCCTCGTGCGTCTCGCTATTGCTGATTTGGACCACACAGGTTCTGGGCTCACAAGAGTGTCGTCTACACAAGCCTTCGAAAGTTCAGACATTGCTGGTTTTAACTCCGGCAGCCTCATCTGAGACTTTGCTGACGCACTTGGAGGGGCACGCGCACTCGCCCGCTCCTCGAGCAGGAGCTCGAACAATTGCATGCGCTACTATCGGCCCGTACGAAATAAGAATATTTGTTAATTAAATCCGGCCAGCGGCCCGGGGGACGTGTACTACACCTCCTGAAAATTTGCCTTGCGCGCGCGCGCGCCACAGGACGCCAAGGACACTTCCCCCCAACGGCCTCTCCAGCCCCGTCAACGGCCTCCCAACGGATAGTCCCCAGAGGCAAGTCCGGCCTCAACGTGGCCAAAGATACCTATCGCCAGCTGCACCACGCGATGGGGCAGCCTCCTTGAGGTCCCCGGTCCGCTGCCCAGCGGCACTCTAAGTCACACTGCCAAACACACCGGGCTGTGTCACTCTGGGTTACTGAGCCCACTCAGCTCGCTCCTGCGCATCCTGCTCGCACATCCCCACGCCCACCTCCCGCGACTCGCACAGTCGCCTAAGCCCGCCCAATAGGACGGCAGATCGGCCCGGCTCGCTCAGCCTCGGCGCTCCGATCGACACGCCCCCGGCAACCCCGGGTCCGGCACTGCCCCCTCCGCTCCAGCCAGCGCACGGCCCCCATCCGCGTCTCCGACTCGCCCGTGACGACCCGGACATCCACCTCAACTTCGCGATGGCACAAGTACTCGCAAGCCGAAATCCGCACTACACGGTTTCCGCAGATGGAATCGCACTCTTCGACCCGAAGCTCAACGAAGCCGCGGCGAACTTCGAGAAGCTCACCGCCTTCGTGAAGAAGATCCGCTTCCGGTTCCCACAGCTCAAGTTCCTCGTCCACTTCTACCAGAAGGACTTCGACGAGATCACGAACATCACGGTCGACAACGACGACGGCACGCAGACCGTCACCCAGCGCCAGTCCCTCTGGGACCGCAAGTGGGCCGAGATGACCGCCGCCCAGGCGACCTTCTGCGAGGAGGCCCTGGTCTACATCCTCTGCAACCGCGTGAGCGAGAAGATCGCGAACGTGCTCTACAAGATGGAGAAGGACGAGGACGCGGATGCGAAGGCCCTCTTCATGTACCTCCGCAAGAGCTACGGCGCCCCCAAGGACGGCGGCCGGTCCATGCTCACCAAGCTCAGCAACATGAGCCTCAACGCGTGCGGCGACATCGACACGCTGCTCAACACCATGAGCACGACCTACGACATGTACAAGTCCGCGAGCGGCGAGAAGCTCGCCGAAGCCACGCTCAAGGCCTACTTACTCGCCTCCATCTCCCACAAGAGCGGCCGGGGCCCGGAGGAGCTCGACAGCACCTACCGCGACTTCCAGAAGCGCGACGCGTCCTACGCGACAATGGCAGACGAACTCCGCCAGTTGCAGATCGGCGACTCCGGGACCGAGCACCCCATCGTCATCGCCAACCCGGAGACGCCGGCGGGCCAGACGGGCCAGGGCATCTTCTCGGCGACGGGCTCCTCCGACT